TTGTCATTGCGATACCGATTTTCAAGACCCAGCTCTTGTATTTTTCGGTTGGTGCTATGAGTAAGGTGATAAAAACAACCACGGTTATTTATATGTTAACCTAAGATATTTTTTCAGCTTTAATCACAGCAATTTCAAAATCCATGTTCAAAAACGTTGGGTCTGGGTATAAATCTTGATCTTTACAAATGTTCATTATTATAGAAAACATATTTTCGTAAGACATTCTGGTATTATTCTGCATTAAAATGAATAAAGCAGAAACATACACACCATTATTTTCTATTCGTACTACGTACAGCTGTATAAATGGTTTTGGAGCTAATTTGAAATTGCCATCTAAGAACCAAGTATCAGCGTCAACTAGTAATTGTAATTCGTTATCTGTACCAAAAACTAAAATTCTTTCTTATGCGTCAGTACCATTATCGTGTAATAACAAATTTTCATTTTGAAACAAAGCCCATTCACCTTAGTATTATAGTATAACTAACACACGGTATATCAAGCTCTTACCCCTATAATCTGGTATATATATATATACTTTACATCATGAATTAAGATAATATGGACTGGTAACGGTTGGGCTGGCGGATGGTAGCGGTGCGGTCAAGTTTTAATACGTGGTTTTCTAAGAGGGGGAATTTATCGGATTGGGGCGATCCTTGTGTTGTTTTTTGTAACTATCGTAGTATCGTAGGTATAATATGTATATCGTGGACCGTTGTTACTTGTTTTACAAAATATTTTTAAAATTTATAGTAATTATACTTTATAGTAAATATATATTTCATATTCTTTATATTATGTTTCTCGTTTATTATACCTACTGGGCACTGCCTACTACAGTACTACCTAATAATTTTTATATATTAATTTTTTGCTTGTTGTCTGTTGATAGTGTAGTGTGTATTTTTTTAAACTTTCATCTATTCTATGATATAAATGTACCTACTAATATAGTATGTATATTACAGAGTCAGAGTGTATTAAATACCTATTCAATTTTTACAGCTGTGCAACTAATTCAATTCAGTTTTACCTACCAAATATTGAACATGAATATTTAACATATTGATTATAAAATAGTATTGAACTTTTATTATTAGATTGCTATTAAATTATATTTTTGGTTGGTTATCAGTTTTAACATATTTATTGTTAACTACCAAAATGTACTACATTTATTTTACCTCAGCATTAACAATTCCATGTGCAACCGTATCAAAAATTTGAGGAACTGCACCTTTCGCTAAACTAGGTTTCACTTTTTGAGGAAAGTCTAAACCCTAAATTATGTTAGTATTTTTTTTTTAGTTGGTAATTATTTATTTATTTCTTATGTATGTCCTTCAAAGTTTAAATAACAGTTAAGAGGATGACTTTCACCTCAACTATTACTAAAATTATAGATGATAATATGTTTAAGGGTATGACAAATTGATTTTATATTTTCAAAATTTTATGTTTTCAAAATAAACAAAAAAATTGTGTAAATTTAAATAATGTTTAATTTGTTTTGAGACAATATTTAGACAAACCGACTATGTTATACCTTCAAAAATATTATTCTCTATCGTTTTTGTAATAGGTGATTTTACTCTAACATTGCTTAAAAACATAAAAAAAAATGATTCTGCAAAATTGGGTTTTTTTTATGTTGCACGTGGGCCAGAGAGAGAAAACAAAATTGCGCTGACATCCTCTTAAATTTTACCAACTATGTTTTTAAAATATTGTTTATTTTAAAATTTAATTAATATTTACTCTAATTATAATATGTACAATACCTCAACACCAGCATAAGTTTTTACTATATCTTTAGGGAGAAAATGTTTTTCACAAATAAACTTAATTTTGGTATCGCATCCATTAATTGATTTAATAATTTCTGTCCAAGAAGAAAACGATGCCTTAGGAATACTAAAAAAGCTGCATTCCCCATCAAAACTTTTGCAACTAATTATACAACACTTTCTGGACATTTTTAAAAATGAATACCTTATACTACTAACTACTAAGGGGCAAGTGTATACTAATAAGTAATAAGAACAAAATATAAGTCTTTCAAAATGTGTTTTATTATAATTTCATGACAAGTTTAATACAGTTTTTAACAAGTTATTTGCAATATTCTACATGTTCAGTCATGTTATTTGAAACTTATTTTTGTTTTTGTCCAACAGATGTCGCTTCAGCTTCACAATTTCTCCCACCACAAAAAGTCCGTATTAAAACCTGACCGCATATTTTACCGTCGTTGCCAGTCCATATTATCTTAGTTCATGCTTTACATGTATATATGTCTAATCTTCTGTCGATTTCCGATGCCATAGGAAAAAACCAAAAATTATCAGATATAGCTGGTATATACTATATAGTATTAAACGTTGTCATTTTATTTACGGTTGTCCACACAAAACTAACGTATAATATGGTATTATGATATGTGAATAGTAGATTTTATCGTTTTATCAACTTATTTTTCACACAAAACTAACATTTTATATAGAGTGATTATATAAGTTTTATGTAAAATATTCCAAATTGTATATTTTTACTAGAGACTTTTTTTCCCCGAGACTTTTTTTCTTTGAGACTTTTTTCCCCGGGACTTTTTTTCCGTTCCCCATTAATTTGAATATGCTCAGTATTGCCAGATTTACTATATGTGGTCATAAAATATTATGTTCTGCTTTAAATGATGATCCGCTTCAGCTTATTCATTTTTTCTTTTTAAGATATACTAGTGAAATTTTTCCGCTCAGTGAATATCTATTTAGAGAAACTCTAGTTTGTCGTATCCAACATCACTGATAAAAACAATTTTATGGATTATCCAAAGATGTCCGTGCAAAAATAATTTAACAAACGCTTTCAAACTCATTACTTTTAATACATATTTGAAATTAAATAAAAAAAAAAACTTGCAATACAATAAAAATAACTGTCTGAAAATATTCTGAGTATAATATTAACACTGTTGCTTAGACAGGACTTGAAGCACTCTCGTCGTACGCGTGTGACATACAGGCTTAAATGCTTATTCAGCACATTTTTTCAGATCGACAATGGGTGTTACACATACCTACCTAATATAGACAACATTATTGTTAATACTATACACTATAAATAAATAAAACATTGGTTCTTATTTTCTTAACAGTCGTTCAGCGTTGCATTTACAAGGGGGATCGTGATGAGATATTTTGGTGTTTTTTAGGGATTTTTGCAAATAAACGTTATTGTCCATTTGCTCTGCCACCGCCGAAACTCCGTGAACACTAAACAAGCAGGCTGTACAGCGTCCTACAATTGTTATACAAAAGTAGAAAACAATTTTGTTCTGTCAACATAATCAGTGCCTATGGAAATATTTTCTATGAGAACAAGGGTCTACGAGTGGGGACCAAATAGGTTTACATTATTAATATAATACTAGCTGATCCCGTGCACTTCGTTTCCCGTTAAATGTACCAACTCTATATGACTCAAACATTGTTCAATGCGTTATTTAATATTCGGTGTATGATGTTCTAGATTTATCTTAACTTTTCTGTTGCCCGGAATAAAAATTCTGAATTGCAGCAGTACATTATCAGATAGGTAATTTACCTGCGGTAGATCGCGGACCCCGTGCTGTTTGTACGTAAGTGTATGATTTAACTCAAAAAGTACCAAAGTTATACCAAGTTTGACGTTTTTACTTAATTCCACCTACCTATAGATCCTAACCTAACCTAACCGTACTAAAATCCGATGAATAAAAAAAACCAAATTTAACCCTTTTTAAATTAGCGTATCTTCTTCCCATAGGTCTAATCTACACACCGTCATTCATTTATATATAAGATATATTTACAAAAAATAATAATACAAATCAACAAACATGCCCGATTAACCAATAGCAACCAATATAATATAATACACAATAGAGTAAATAAAGACAACGGTATCGAGTTCAAATCCCAGACATCAATAAATAGTTTTTGCAGTTTTTCTAATTATTCGGTTGACTTTTTAAAAATTTTCTTTCGTAAAAACCTTCACCTGGCAATTACGAACATCTTAAAAAAAATTTGAGCAAAATCGGCCCAGCCGTTCTCAACTGATGCAATTTCAAATTTTTTGTCTCCATTTTTATATATATAGATAATATAACATTTATCAACAGTGGTCGAAGTGGGGGGGATACGGAGGGATGACATCCCTCTACTTTTTTGTATTTACATTTTTCATCCCTCTACTTATTTTGTCTAGAATAAAGCGTTCCTCCTAAGACTTGTGTTTTAAAATGAAATAATTATTATGATTTTTATATTTATACCTATGTATAAGAAAACTTTTTATTTTTCGTATAGGCCGTTTCGCAATCATATTATCTATACCCGTATTTAGAGCCAGGGATTAAGAATTTACATATACCTTAGTCGTGTTTAGAGCTAATAACATAATATTTTAATATCACAAAACAATAACAATATTGATGATAATAAGTCCACAGAAAAATATTATAAATAAAATATTTTATCAGTTTTTTTGAAAAATTTGAAAATATGTTATTTATTTGTTTAGTTTTAAAGATTATTTATAATCGAAAAAGATTGTAGTATTCTGATGCATAAACAAAATGTGAACTATAAAAAAAAAATACTATACAAGATATGAAGAATGTTATGATGATATCAGGAAATCTGAATTGTAAGGCATCCCTCCACTTATCTTGAGCCATTTCGACCACTGAATAAATCAATATCACCTACAATATTAGCCTACAATATTAATTTAATTAATTAAATATTATATATTTATATTATATGGCATACGCTATAGCGAATTTAATAGGTTTAATTGTTAAACCTATAATAATAAAAATATTACACTGTGTTTTATACTTAGGTATATTCTCATGATTATTTATAAAATAATATTATATACATCATACAAGTAAAATTAAATTAATTAAATATAATTCAACAATTATTACATAATATGCTTACTCATTTTTTTTTGTATTCCTTTTTTATTTCACCATTCCGTGTTCTATTTATATTTGATTTTATGCATGATTTTACTTGATTAGCAAAATTTAATTTTTCACTGTTTAAAAAAATATAGATATAATATTGTTCTTAAAAAATTTAATAAATTGAAATTATTAACATTTTTACCATACCATAAATCAACATTTTTTTTCATTAAATTTAAACGGATCTCCGCCATAACTCTGCCTAATGTTTTACAATGGTGAGATCTATGTCCCACTAATTGGCACAGTGCACAATGCAATTCATTGCATATAGTACAATATGCCTCAATGTATTTCTGTAACGTAAATAATTATAAAACTGAATTAAATATGTGACAATTAAGTTAAGATTCATAATAGGATTCAGCTTTAAAATCTTTAAAATAAACACAAATTATTCTACAAAAAAGATATTCGAAGTGAGATATTTTCAACGTATTTTTAATTAGATTACCTACCTATAATAGTAGATATTTGTTATTACAATATTTTTGGAATTTTAATTAGTTCTTGAAACAATTACTTAATGGCTAATGCATTTTTATATAAAAAAAAAAACCTTTACATGTTTTGGTTTAGACGTTTGAGTCAAACGTAGGTAATTGGGTTTGATTTGTATTTTATTAAAAACAAATCTATATTATAATTCCTAATTTATATATATAGATAGGTATTTGTACTTGCATCATCACAATTTGGACATGGGGCTTTCGTTATGTATTGACCATATTTCTCTTTTTGGTATTTTTCTTCCATGTAATTATTTCTTAATATACTCTAAAGACATATGTATGAAAAATTTAAATCAAATAATTATTTAGATAATATTTTATACAGGCGCAATTTGAGAGGGTGGAGGTGTGTGACTTAACGATGTATAGGGCCTATGTGTGGCCTCGGCAAAAGGTAGATACTGAAGTGATTTCAATAAATCAATTAATCATTGAACGAAGTTCTTGATTGTGTTAAAATGTTGCCAGTTAGGTACCCCTTCGACTATACTGATCATTGTTTTCCATTAAATTGCACCCGTACAGTGAGTATACAATACAGAAGGGTGTATACAAATTATATTATAAAACTTGTGATTACTTCATCAAACTGTTCACAAAATAATGTATAATTTATAAGTCTGTTTGAAATGCCAGAAACCACTCCACAATCGCATACGAAATTACCTACATAAACAATAAAAGACATTATGATAAACAAACTTGTAGGTCCTACCGTTATAAAGTAAATCAAATAGAAATAATGCAATGCTTTTTTTTGTACTCAAATACAATTAATTGCATTGAAGTATTCTCATGTAGTCTTATCATGTTATACATAGGTACCTCTTACGTATTCTGAATATGTTTTTACATTTTGTAGTCATGTAAAAAATGCACCTTTCAGTGTTCAGTCTTAGGTATCTATTAATTAATATAACAAATAATGATTATTATTTGTAACAAAAAAAACTGGTAAACCTTAATGATATACTTAGAACTCACATACATACCAGGTCATACCCTCGACTCTCCCCAACCATCCTGGATTATAGTTGTCATACTATACCCCCACCTCACACTCCATACAATAGTCATGTTATACTCCAACGACTCCCTCACATATAACAATTGTAAAATATACTTCTAACTTCTAAGTACACTGAAAATTACCTATAATCAGACCTTTATACTTTGGTGAAGTATCACTTTTATGAAGTTTCGTCCTAATTGTATTTCCATACCATACCACACATTGAAAATTATACTTTAAACTACTATACCAGTATATTATCATAATTCCAGCCATACATACATTAAAACCTACATAAATATTATATATAATAAATAATATATTAATAGGTATACCTCAATTTTCTAACAGGTGTACGTGCTGTATTACAGTAAATTTATAATAATGAAGTTTTTGAAATTTAAAACTGAAAATAATTATTATAATGTATTTTATGTTTTAGATTTAAGAAGATAACCAGATCAATTCTAATGTCATTCAAAATAAAAATATGAAATATTATATTTGTATCATCTCAATATTATGTTTGTCTGTGGTAAATGCTATCAAATGGTTTCCCCAAAAAAACAATTAAGAAACTAAGTTAAAAACATTTCTTATACTTCTCTCAGGTGCCTACTAAATTTTTATTTTTTAATAACAAAACATAAGCGAAAATAATGCAACATTGTTGTTCAGTGAATTAAACAATAAAGCTGAATATCTTAAAATAAAATAGGGTAAGTGGATATCGCTCTGCTGTACAGTAGGTTACAAGCGGTCACTGTATAATGGATTATATTAAATTTGAATTCAATGATATCATATCATTGTATACAAGAACGAATCTGAGCGAAGACGGTTTGTCAGTCTAGATATTTTATATTGCTATTATGTTTTATTATATCCTATAAGTTGAATTAATATTCTAAATTACAACAAAATAACTAAAATCGTTATTTTTATTTTTATTCGTTTCTATGGTGATAAATTAAGCGTTTGAAATTAAAATCCCAATTCTAGAGGTTTTTTTGTAATTTGTCGGTGGTTTGGCATTAAATAACTATTGAGAAAATCGAAAAATGACCTCTCTAAAATATAATTTTGATCTAATTTTCTAAAAGATAATTTACTATATGTTGAAATCTTCTCCTTCTGGTAGAAATGTTGTATAGGTACAGGATAAAAAAAAAAGAAAGAAAAAACACCATTGTAAAACCACTTGATCCCTCACTCCGTTCAGAATCTAAAAAACTAAAAACATTGAAAGTTCTAAACTTTAAGCACATGACATTAATGCATTAAATAATATTATTACTTCTATATCAAGTATATGTCATATGGAGCGCGATTAATAAAAAATAATTTTCATTAAATCGAATCCTGAATTAAATGCTAATATAAACGGGTCCAACATAGAACAATATTTAAGAATAATACCAAACATCAGTATTTTTTTTTTATTTAAAAGTAGAAAATATTTTGTAGGTTGGGTGAAAGCCCGATTTTGAAAATTATAATTATAGAAGATGGAATATACATTTAAATAATAATGCACAATATTGGTTCTTTTTCAGACTTATTTTTCTACTACTATTTAAATTAAACTAAAAATTCGAGCTTTGATTCAACCTGCAAAAACTTCTCGCGTTTCAAATAAAAAAAAATTACCAAAATCTGACATATCAAAGAGGTGTGAGAGTTTTTCCTATAAAAACAATTTTGTTCATCAAAATAGTACTTCGATAATAGTCATCGAAGTCAATCACTGACTTGTGCGTGCGTGTGCGTAAATATCTTTATCTGCGCGTGTAATTTTATAGCTCTCTCACTAATATCAATTTACATATTATTCACACACGCTCCGCATGCACGCTCCGCGAGGCCGATACAACATGTGAACTAAATTGCCTACATTTTACTCCTTATTAAATGACAGGGACCGACACCCTCAACTATCGATTGCAACATACGCGAGTGGAAATATGCTTAGGCATAGGCCGAAACCATAGTCCGGTTGGAAGGAGAAATATGGCAGGTACATACAACATAGACTGTAATATAGAAGGTGAAGTAATGCTTTAGGAGAAGTAATGCTAAGGCTAACGAAAAGAAGTAAATGCTAAATAGGAGAAGTAATGATTACGTGGTTCTACCTCCGACCCTCGATTACCTCGGAAAAAAAAAGACTGTAATATAGATTTTGTTAAGAATCTCTGCCATTATATTAGACAATTAATTGTAAGTAAAGATTACAATCAATAATGTCTTAAACGCAGACGTATAGGTAAACAAATAAATTAATAAATAATAATATAAGTACTTCATTGGAGTTCAATGAAGTGATCGTGTATTCGTGTCACACGATCACCATACCTGAACTTTTTTTTCTGTCTCCACATATTCTTTATACATTTATAATTAAATTTAACCTAGTTATTGTCATTGGTTAAATCGTACTGTGGTTAAGATTATACTTATTGTTAGTTTATTACGTAAATAACATTCTTGACCTATAGTTTTGACTAATTTATACCTATGTTATTACATAAGTAGCTTAATGAATACAATAATCGTATGATTTATTCTGAATTTGACTTGTTACAATGTGATTGTCTTCTTAACTTTTAAAATAATAATATTTCTTATTGCTACTTAATTTAATTTATGTAGGTAGGTTGTAGGTACCTACATTGTACATAACTTAAAAGGTTAATACAACTCAAATAGCTTACAATATTTGTATTATTTAATAAAAGTTATGGATTTTTACTCTTTATTCTGCTCCGTTATCTTACATTAGTGCTACATGAATTAAAAACATTGTAATTGCATATTAATATTGTTGCCCGAATTTTACATTATATTAATTATCATTGATATTGTATACAGTATGAAGAATATAATCTCATATTATGTTGAGTCATGCCTTAATTGATTAAAACTATGTACCTACATAGATAATCAGAACATTAAGAACACCTCACCTGATTTCTCTAAATCAATACATTGATTGCATACGCCATGAAGGCAACTCAACAATTTTGACGTAGAGTCCAAAGGCTTTGTGCAACTTACACATATGTTCAATTCCCAAAATTGTTTGGCACTCACGGTGAGCATGTATTTCTCTCTGGCAGACTCCATCACAAAGGTAGATACTCTGTATTTCAAAAATTATTTGTTTGTTTATTGTAATATATTTATGTAGGTACCTAACATATTATTATTTATTAATATATTTTCTACAAAAAACTACGTGAACAAGTTAGGCATCGTTATTAGCCAGTTCAATTAATAATAGGGATTTATAGTAACGGCGCTCCGCACAGTGATCGGAAACGTAATCTACCTTGCCTAAATTAAAATTTAAGATTATGTAATATACCAATTATGACATAAACAATTATCGACTGTATATTAATTAGTGATAAAATGATGATTATGATAAATTTAGATAATTATAACATTGCTGAATTCCCAGATAAGCGTTTACACTATATTATGTAATTGAGGGTATAATGTTATTATTCAGTTCACTTTATCTTGTCACCTGTTATTAAGTACATACGCCTTAGATTAAATTTTTTTCTTTCGATATATATTATGGATACTATTGAACAAGGTAAGTACATTTTTAAAAGTTTTAAAAATGTATTTATATTTTTTTTTTTTTAAATTGAAAATTTCCGATTTTTCAATATTTTAGATTCTGAGTGGAACGATGAATGTATTGATTTTACAATGATGTGTGTTTTTTTTTGTTGTGCATTGGGGAGGTCAAAATTTAAAATTTCCAGTAGTTTTCAAAAGCGCAAGAAAAAGCAAAGAAAAATTAAGGAAAAACGGGAATTTTTACGCAAAATCGATTTTTCACAAAATTGAATTTGGTTTTTGGTGTAACTCTTAAACAAATGACCTTAGGTACCTGCATAAAATTTTCACTGATTGCTTGTATTTGTATTTTCTATACACGATAACATTTTCAAAATATTTTGATTTATTTTGAACTGTTTAGGGACATTTTCATTTTCCGTTTTTTTTTCTAAAAATATCAATAAAATTTTATTTGTTAGTTAAAAAAGCTTGAAAATTTAATGGAAGGCTCCTAGTATATTTTTTCAAAGGCAGATGAAAAATATTAAAAATCCTTAGTCAGTTTTTTTTTATAAGCATTTAAAGTTCAAAAATTGACAAAATATGGAAAAATATGGAAAAATCACGAAAATTAGCAAATTATTTTGAGTTAAGAATTCATAAGATATTTTCTTTTTCAATCTAAGATTTTAAAATGTAATATAAGATTCCTTATAAGATTATCTAATTTTATCAAAAAAAAATGTTTTGAATTTTGACAAAAATTATCAAATTTAAAATTGTATAATTATTTTTTAGTTAAAAATTTATAAAATGTTCAACTTTTATATCTAAGGATTGAAAATTTTGTTTTGAAACTTCTAAAGTAGACTATTATATTATATCAATGATAGTATCAGGGGTTGTTGTTGATGTATAATGCTTTATAAGTACCTAATGGATATTGTGATATGATTAATTTGGAATTAAGTATAGGTAGGTACCTATTATATTTCAATTTTTTTTTAATACCATAGATAAGTATATAGTATGTCTTATACTCAGACTAACCGTTTCCGCTCAGTATCGTTTATCTTATACAATGATATTATATCATTGAAATCAAATTTAATGCCATCCATTATACAGTGACCCACTTGTAACCTACTGTACAGCAGAGCACCTTTTTTTTTAATTTGAAGGGTAGTTTTAAAATAGTATTCATTTTACAATTTGACAATACATACAAATCATAACTTAACTAAAGGGCTAAACAGATAAAAAAAAAAAAGGTGGGCAAGTGGGTGTCGCTCTGCTGAACAGTATAGGTTACAAGTGGATCACTGTATAATGGATGATACTAAATTTGAATTCAACGATATAATATCATTGTATAAGAAAAACGATTCTGAGCGGAGACGGTATGTCAGTCTAGGTATAAGACATATTTTATACATATCTATGCTATTAGACAAAAAATTGACCTATAATAGGCACCTATAATAAATTCCAAAATAATCATATCACAATATCCATTATTTACTTATAACGCGTTATACATCAACGAAAACCGTGATACTATCATAGATATAGAATAGTACACTTTAGAAGTTTCAAGTACTATGAATAATATTATTCAATCCCAACAAAATAACTAAAATAGTTATTCTAGGTTTTTTTAATATGTAATTTCGTCCAAATTTGAATTTAAAATGTCTGTAAAAAATAACTGTGTTCATATATTTTTTAGATTTTTTGGTTACAGTATGAACTATTTATGAGAACCTTTGTTTTAAATTTGCAATCCTTAGCTATAAAAACTGAACATTTTATAATTTATTAATTACAATGATTAATAATTTTCGAGATTTTGAAAAATTCTGTCAAAATTCGATGTTTAAATGCTTATAAAAAAAAATTGTGCCTATGTATTTTTAATATTTTTCAACTGATATTGTAACAATATATCAGGAGCCTTGTATTAAATTTTTACACTTTTTGGTCCAACAGATAAAACTTAATTGATATTTATAGAAAAAAAAACTAAAGAAAATTGAAAGCGGTAAATGTCCGTAAATAGCTCAAAAAGAGTCAAAATGTTTTCTTTGACTTTCTTATAGACATTTTTTTTTTTGATAAAGGTAGATAATCTTATAAGGAATCTTGTATTACATTTTCAAATCTAAGATTTAAAAAGAAAAATTTTTACGAATTCTTAACTCAGCTTTCGCAACCAACAAATAAAATTTAATTGATATTTTTAGAAAAAAAACAAAAAAAATATGGAAAATGAAAATGTCCCTAAACAGTTCAAAATAAATCAAAATATTTTGAAAATGCTATCGTGTATATAAAATGCAAATATAAACAACCAGTGAAAATTGCATGTATATACGTTCATTTCTCTTATAGTTACACCAAAAACCAAAATCGATTTTTTGGAAAACCGATTTTGCTTAAAAATTCCCGTTTTTCCTTAATTTTTATGTTGTTTTTCCCGGCGTTTGTGAAAACTACTGGGAATTTTAAAATTTGACCTCCCAAATGCACCAACTATATTCACTTTCCCATTGAACAAGATACTGTTGACGAAAATCGAAGCAGTTTTACTGCCCTAAACCGTGATGACTGACACAAAATAAAAATTTTTAAAAAAATACATCATTGTAAAACTTATACATTCGTCGTTTCATTCAGAAACTAAAAAATTCATAAAAACTTTTTTTTATATAAATTAATTAAAACTTGAAAAACTAATTTCACAATAATCAATTTGAGTTTATTTCATGCTGTGCTTAAAATGTATTCTTTTCGAGGGACTAGTAATGGAGAGAGTGGTCTTATGAATTTGAAATTTCGCGATCTATTTGAATTGTTGGTGGAAAAAACGACCATTAAATCCTACTAATGTTGAATCTAAGTTTTATTTATATGAGTTTATTAATAAGCAATGCAACGTTAAGGGACATAATACTGATAATTAATTATTGTAATTAGAAAATGTGTTTTTTTAAGTATTTCCTTAATTTGAAATTTGAATATATATATATATTTTTTTATTAAATAAAAAAATAAGGTAATAAAATGGTTTTTCAATAAATAGAGGTGGTTAGAAAAATGGTTGTGAGACATCTCATGACCGGGATTGTCCTAGTAGCCGGATAAACCCCACAAAAAAATAAATGAAAAAATAAATAAACTATAAAAAGACAAATTATTCAACATTTTCCAAGAATTAAATTTCAAAAAAATTTTTATTTTATTTAATTTCTGTGTAAAGATAATTGTGAAAAAACTGCATTAAAAAATATTGATTTTCTTCGGAGATATTAATGATTTAGGCAAGCTAAATTACGCTAGTCACTTCTAATTTATTATAAACTAATAAACTATAATAGTATAGTCTATAATAATACTAGTCGCCACTCGCCATTCGGTATCATACTAATCAACCTACTTCGACGATATAGTTAGCAACCAACAGGTAAAAGTCCACTCTTTGGGTGAGCTAGCCATAATATTTAATTTTATTTATTTAATTTCATATACAATATACATATATGAATTCTGGGCCAAACTGAGAAAACTCGTGTTAGTTCAGGTAGGTAGATATATAGTAAATAATATTGTAAATTGCAAATTACAATACATATTATAGTGTTATATGATGTGAAACACCATTAATGTATTTATATTTTATTCTTCTTAAATACATATTTACGTTATATAATGCATTGTGTCATATCACTGAGCCCCGCTTTATATATTTATTAGACATAGCTATAATTTTGATTAGGTAGTTAACAAAGTTTATAATAATAATATTTCGGTCTACTATAGATATAATATATACGTATGCCGAACTATATAGCCTCGTTTCATCACTTTATCCGTGTATTACTATACCAGGTTATACGTTTTTAATACCTAATAATTTAATGCACCATGGTTACAGGTAAACAGGGTACCGAGTAATGACTGTCACATACTCACATGGATTCCTGACACGCGAACCATAGGGTTACCAAGGCAGCTATTGCATTTTAGCGGCCTAAGTTCTCGCGTATTGCGCGTTTTACTAACAAGGGGATTTTTTATGGAGCTCGGAGGCTAACAGTGTTATAGGGGGAAAACAGATGGGAAACATAATACCACAGAATAGAATAATACATTACAAAACGACGACTACAGATGTCTTGAGCTAATGACTGATATTAGATGAGTGTAGACTTGTCCCGGGCCCACGGTGGTTGTATCAGTCCATCATGGTGGGAGCATGTCATTTCAACAAAAGGCCGTTGAATAAAGATGTCGATATCCATAGTTTTTAACTTGCCATCTGATGTTAAATCACATCCGATTTTAAATAAAAAAAAGTGATTACTAAGGAGCATAGTCTAGAAGTTTATAAATTCAACCCATTTTTTCGAAATTACAATCGAACCTCGGGAAGTATGATTAATTTATTACCGCTTTTAGTAGTTGTATAGTCATGCAAACAAGAATATATTTCATTTTTCGCGATATATTGACATGTGCGTGCGCGTGTGAGAGTTGCTTCCGGCGCGGTTGCCCGACTCGACGTGAGGCGATTTTCGTAAACCATAGCTGATTACGTACACTAATTTTCATTTACTACTAACACATAGATACAGTATTAATTTATATGTCACATGAATTGCCTAAATAGTACTCCTTAAAATATGCTACGGTGCAGCCCCCTTAAGTCAGAGTCACAGAGCTCTATACTACACTAGATAAGGAACTTCTATACAATTTACATTGTTACAAGTGAAGCTCAGCTGTGGATGACCGCCATTTGATTTTTTGGTTTTTTCATTTTCATTTTTGTATCACTTATAGAAATAATAATTAGTTCCAAGACATTTAATTTGTTTGTATTTTTATCTAAATTATAAATTTTATTTTTTATTTTTTTATTTGAATAACCATTTATAGTTATTTTACAATTGGTAATACAATATATTTCCAATTATTTTTACATGTGGTTATGTGAATAGGTAAATATTGCATTTTAGCCTAATAGTTACAGTACCTAGTATAAACTAGTAACTATAGTTACGTTATCCACATGACCACAGCCTATACAAATATTTCCTCTATCTATAATATCTGTTATATTATCAAAATAAAAATAAGATTAAAATCAGGAAAGCAAACATTTAATTTAAGATACATTTGAACTGGTATTACACAATTCTTCACCAAAATGTTTATAAAATTGAACAAATACTTTTACAAAATTTGAATATATTATAAATCCACCAACTGCACACCAAATGATAATAAATATCATATTGTGTATTATTACAGAAATTATATATAGTGTGATTGACCAAGTATGCTCATCCCTATTTTTTTCTTTAATAATGAATTTATTCAAATATTCTGATTTTTGGAATTTTTAATTATACTCAAAGACCAAATTATTTTCAATATAACGGATTATTTTACTACTTAAGGAGTATCTTGTGGCGATACAAACTCTGTTTTTCAAATGAGAACCCTACCCCTTTTTACTGTAAATTATTTATTAGTTTAATATTTGAATGAGGAGTTTTATAGTTATTAAAATTTTTGTATTAATTATAATAGTCCTTAAAAATGGTTTTATATAAATACAAAATAGACATAAAATTGGATCCAGTCTTTATTATACTTGGGTCATTTTTACAAATTATTAATATCTGCATTATTGAAGAAAAAGGGGCATGCTTGGTGCATCACTTGGTATGTTACTATTATGTGAAGCAGTGGCGTACGCAGGGGTAGGGTTCTAGGGTTCTGACCCCATCTGAAATGTCTTCCTTTTACACAAAAAACCTTATTTACCAAGACACAAGAGTTAATCAATGGTATGTTATTTTTAATAAATATAAAATTAATTGTTAGATATGATAATCAACAAAGACGTCGGTAATCATAGTATCAGTTTTTTCTTTTTCTAATTTAGAACATTGCTAAACGTCTGCCATAATCGTCGTATCATCGTCCATCGATTATTACCACGTTTATTACGACCCGAAGAGGCTCTATAGATGACTAGGTTAAACACTTGAGTGTTCTAAATATAGACTAACTATAATTTATGATAACCAATTTTAATATAAAAATGGTTTAGCCAAAAATAATGTAAATTATTTACTCATGTAAAACCCTAACCAAACTAAAATCCTGCGTACGCTACTGATGTGAAGGTACACAAGTATTACAATTTATAACAGCTTGTTTTATAAAGAATAATTTATAATTTACAAAATTAGTGTTTGGTACAACTTAATCCCAAAATAAAAAGTGTTTGTACTTTAATAAGAGAAAATAACATACTTCAGGTATAATACCAATATGTATATTATAAAAATAAAATATAATTTTAATCATTAATCACAATAAAAGTTGTCGTTTTATAATTTATGCTTAATATTAATGTATGTGTTGCACAGCAATTTGTTTTTTCAATTTTGGTATTTTAAGTAAAATACATAACTTTATTTGCATTGGGATGTACTGTAATAGCTCGTACCATAGCGTCTAGTGTTTGATCTTCACTACAGAATGTTTCATGTGATCCTTCAATACTAAAAACAATCAAAATTATTCATAATATAACATATTATAGGTATTGCATCTAGTTATTATCAGTTTTGGGTAGAAACTTAACGCAAATTACAAATTACTGTAACAAAATTATTTTTGCAGTAACACTGTAGTCATTTAATTATATTTTAATTAAATTATAATATACTGGTGGTCTAGGTGACTACTTGTATATTAACGTTGCAGGTAGCTAGACCGTTTCGCTGATGATGAGGTGGTTGTTGAAATAGAATTTAAATTAGAACTTTTCATTCTCTGTATCTCATTGAATAATTAACGGATCGATACAATTTCAGGATTGAATTATACAACAAAAATATTAAATAATAATATGTAAAAAAAAACAATTAAAAAAAAAAATTGATTTAGAACCTTTTCATTCTGAGACTACCATATCAATGCATGCCATCACCAAAAGCTAGTCGTATACTTGTGTCCTATATCAGAAATGATAACATGTATACCTAACCTCATAAATAATTGTATTTAAGATGCAGAGTTAATGTTATAAGTATTTTTGGATTTTTATTTATATCGTAAAAAGCTACACTGATAGTATATATTTTTTAGAATAATTAATTTTAAATGATGAAAATTCCAGGTAGGTATGGTTATTCAAATACAAATTATAACAACAAACAAAAAATATACCTTTCACTGTAAAACTAATAGGTACATTCCTTACAAAGCTCAGAATCTAAAACTATTATATTATACAACAATAGCATCCTCAATCTCAGCCCAATTTTGATCAAAATAATTTCAAATCAAAAAAATCTATAAAAAATTTTAATCCCGTGCTCTACAAACATTACCACGGGCCCGTGATTATAAAAAAACAGGCACAGTACTGCTGTGCTAGTAGATTCGTCGTCTCACCATTTACCGGGAGTAATTTTTTTTACACAGCTTAATAATGATAATAGTAAAAAAGTAAATTCAATAATGTTACCTGTCATGTTCTTTTTCGACAATGTGATATTTAGCTCTATGTGCAACTAAGTGAGCATAATAGGCCGGTGCAGGTATAGATACAGAACGTGTACATCTGACATAAGTGTGACACAATTGGTATGTTAGGCGTTGTAATTCATCTGACTCAAAATTGTTGTCATCCCATAGAACATGATAATGACTTGGCCGACTAGTTCCCTGTTAAGATTTCTTTTTTTATTATAAAATACAATATATACAAGAAAAAACTACTATCACAAATTATTACCTGAATTCCTTGTTGACTACATAAGTAAAAATCAAATTCTGTAGGATGTGTTATTCCAATATCAACTGTTGTACCAGCTGGAATATTTCCAGATTTTCCACATTGTTCCGTTTCATCAGTACAGAAAAATCTAAAAAAAAAAATTAAATAATTAATTAAAAATATAAGATGAAATATTTTAAAAAAAGTAAACCTGGTGTGATGACGTTTTTGAACAGTAATAAAAGTGATTCCTGGTTTGTAATCACCTTCCAAATTTATACATGCCTCTCGAATAGCCAAAAGTTCATGGTGTAAGACCTATGACAATAGTAAATAGTTAACATAAGAAAACACACTAACAAATAGGTATTAATCTATGTAATATTTAAAAATAAATAATAATTATAAAAAAATAAATCGTATTTTAAAAAATGTGATTATGAAACTTCTATATTAAGGCACTGATGTTTTCTTTCTCTATCCCAAGAGCAGCATAGACAAAACACGTTTATTAAAAATCATTTTTGTTTTATGTATTTGAGTAATCTTAAAGTATTAACTCACTCATTAAAATAAAAAACTATAGATAATAATATCTTTGAGGGTATGACTTATTGACTTGTCCAAAATAATATATAGCCTAAAATTTAAAATTAGTTTAAATTTACAAATTTTTATTTTACTTTGAAAAGCTTATATAAAACCAAATAATAATAAAATATATAACTGATATGTCAACCCCTCAAAAATATTATTTTCTATAATTTTTATGTTGGTTGATTTTAAGATTACTCAAAAATCATAAAAAAAAGCCATTTTTTGTGAATGTATTTTATCTATGTTGAACCTGCAAGTGGGTCTGAGAGAGACAGATGACAAATATTTTGCTCTGACTTCATCTAAATATTTTTTTACCTATATGGTTTATGAATTAGGTTGTTTATACTTAATTACTCAATATGCTAAGTTTTAAAATATACAACTAAAATGTAATAATAAAGCCAACTCAATGTTAAAAAAAAAGAAAAATGCAACTCTAGAATCTATTATATATATAAAACTAAACATACATTAGAAAGCTGTCCTTCAGATACTCCATCACGGTATAATATAATTCTATGAGGTTTATAACCTCTAGTACTCTTGTAAAACATGATTAGGAGTTCCCTAAAATTAAACATGGTAGTTAACAATATGATTATATAAAAGAAAGTTTAATGGGCAGATGAGTGACATACTTGACCATAGAACTAAGTTCTTGAATGATTTCTTGTCCGGGTTGTTGGAGACGTACCATAGCGGCATAACGATTGGGATGTGCATCCATAGATCCTACTATTGCTGCAATCGATGGTTTTTTATTATCATTTGAAGGTGGGTGAGTTACATCTGCACCCAAAATAATCAATGGTTCATTGAACACCTAGAGGATATAAATTAACTATTAATAAGAAACCAACAGTTTTTATATGTTAATGTACTTTAGGTCTGACGCTTGGTACAAGAATAGTATTGATACCACCCAATTTCACATTGATCTTTAAACATAAATTGGATAATGCTTGAGTTGATGGTTTATTAACATTTTTTGCTTGAATACATTGTGTAGCCATTCCTAGAATAGTGTCCCCGACTTTTTTGACTTCAGCTAATTATAACAATTAATAAAACATGTTTTATTTTTACATTTGAATCAATAAATTAAAAACGTTACAAATCCTTAGCAAAATAAAAATAACAATACCATATATTGGAGTTTTCCCTGGTAAAATAACAACTATAAGTTGTAATTCAGTGAATTTTGTTAATAAAAAATTGAACATAGGTTGTACTTGGTCAGGTCCGTTGATATATTTACCTGTTAAAAAAAAACTTAAGTCAAATTAAATTATATTAGTTATATTTATTGTACTCACAAAAACATGGCTCGTTAATTGGCATGCCAGCATCATCGCTAATCTTTCGAAGTTGTTTTGTAAAATTTCTATAAAATAAATAGTATTTATTACATATTAACAAACAAACTTACTATTAATATTTGAGATTTCTAGACAAAACACATTGTTAAATGATTCAGTTGTTTAGTTACTTTAAAGCGTCTTCACGCACAGTTCTCTGTGGTGCAAATGAAGCTATTGCCCAATTACTAATTTTGACACCTATAAAGAACTGTTTATCCCTCATATCCCAAACTCCGTGATTAGGTAATGTTTGTTGTTTAGTTTGTTGGACATTTAATATTTTCTACAATTTATAAAATTAAACAAGTATTAATAGGTATCATTTGATTAATATTTTTTTCGGGATGGAATCTTATCAAACTGATAAGCGTAATAAAATGTTAACAGTGAAAAAAAATCTGGACATATTTTTTTACCTGATTAGGTAGACTTGGTCCACCATATTGTAATTTTGGTGGTGGTAAAACACGACCACTCAATTCTATCATGCTGTTTGATATAGTAAGACCAAATTCTTTTAAATATGGATCATTATGAAAATCAGCTTTACGAACTAAGGAATTAATATCTTGTTCACGTTCAGGAGCAGTTCTTATAGTTTTCTTAATCATAGTTGATGTTTCCCTGTCAGTTAATTTTCTAACACACCGTTGACTCTTAACTATGTTACAGATCTAATAGAATAAGTTTACAATGGTTACTATTTGCCACTGACAAACACAGATCTACAGTATAATCATGTTACACAACACAACACATAATATAGGTACTGTGATTGTATTTGTATAATATGTAGGTACCTATACCTGTTATAATACAACAAATCATAATCATTTTGTCAAAAGCATATAGAATAAATTAAACAAGACTTAAATGAAATAAATAAGTTGTATCATTATATGTAGAATTTAATAATGTTCTCAACTAATTGTATAGTACTATTACATTAGTATTGTACATGCTAAATGCTATAATACTATATAAATTATAAAGTTAAAAAATAGTAAAGCAGATCAGTACATTTTGATTGGTTGATGAACCATAAGTTAACACATTGAGTGCCACGGTCGACACGTAGTCCACAACTGTAATAGGCATCTATATGGCATTATAATTTACTCAGTTACCAGAGAAATGCTTCTGTTTCTATTCGTGGTTATTCAGTGAAATGTCTATTTTCCAACGGTGTATTCGGATTATATTTTAGTTTATTTTTAGCAAAGTAATGGTTATTTTTCCTAGGAAATAATAATAAATGGCGACGACGACCCCGAGACGAATATTTATATTTATAGCTATAGTTATTATATCTAAACATTATTCTTTTTATGTACCTACAGTTTCATATTTATTAATGTTATTATTTATATAATTTTATTTATTTTATTATTTTATTTATATAAAAACAATAATAATACAAGGAACTTACATTATAATATTATTTCGTTTTAATTCGTATATAACATATTATTCATTGCTACAGGTATAAGATATTTGTACATTTTATTATTGGATTAGATGATCCCGTGCACTTCGTTGGCCATTAAAAATGCCAACTCTATATGAATAATTTGTTTAAAATAATAATAATAGCTTCAAAACCCGTGGCAACCATTTATAAATAAAAATGTCCATCTCAAAATTCCTGCAGTTTAAGCACCTCCCGGGGATGGTTACTCCCTTTTTAAATTAGCCTATCTGCTGCCCAGAGGTCTAATCGCTATCTCTGTACCAAATGATCCCATGCACTTCGTTTCCCGGCAAAAGATAATTATTATTATTATAGCTTCTAAACCCATGGCAACCATGGCAACCATAGGACAGACAGACATTCATTTTATTATTGGATATTAATCGTTTAAATAATAAATAATAATAACAAGTAGGTATGTAGTGAAAAAACAGACACATTGCACTGGATTACGACGTCAACACGCAGACAACCGACGCAGTTGCAGGACCGATTTCACGCGGATACCCAAATCTTCATGGCAGTCAATGTGTTAAAGGTAATTAAATACTATTCAAATTTACAATGTATTCAAAAAGTATTAATCATCCAAATAAACGAACCTCCAAAGGAAGATATGTATGTTTATGTTCCTCTCCAACTTGAATACATGGTAAATTTGGATAACATAGTTTTATGTCGTATTTGTCTAAGAAATATTTAGCTACTGTGCATTCTACACTGTAGTTCTTTTCAATTTGCAGTGGAAAACTAAAAGTTAAATAATAATAAGTTAAAATATATATGTTAAAAGTAAATAATAAGTTTCAAGATTAATAAATTGCTTACGTTTGCATTTGAGCTGATCTTCTTGTAACATTACGAACTACATATTTCTTTCGAAATTCTCCACGATGTGTAGTCTCTATTTTAATACCTTTAATTTCTCTTGTAAATTTAATTCTTTGTGAATCTGTTAATGGTATTTTTTGGTCACTGATATCTCTAATACCCAACACATCACACATGAAATGTAGTACTTGTTGTGATTTGTAAAAAGCTGATGCTGACACTAAAAAAAGAAATATGTTAGTGAAGATAGGTAATTTTATTTTAATAAATTACCATCGAAATTAAGCATCATTTTCCATTTAGATGGCTTCAATGACTGGTGAAAACCATACCAAACTTCTCTACCGCCACCTAATGGATGATAATGTCCTTCAGGTGGAAAAAAAAATGACCGGCCAACTGATGTGTAAGTCATTGATGGAAGATGTCGCATGACAACATCTAAGGTCTACGTACATACAAAATATTGGAAATTAAACTAAATAATAAACAATAAGTCATTAATTATTAATTAAAAGTAAGTAGAATAAGATGAATTAACCGAAATAGCACCATATGGTATTGGTCTTCTGCGGCCTTGTAATGCTTCTTCCAAATCAAATAATGATATTTGACCTCTCCATTTAATATAAACATGGAATACTCTATCTTTACCTTGACAGGACAATGTAACCTGAAATATATATTAATAAAATTAAATGTTATATTATAATATAATTTAAAAGAAATAACCTACTTCTAATTCCTCTTGTTTCCTTCCAATAGGCAATGGATCTCTTGTATATAAGTTTTTGCGACCATCATATGCAGGACGAAGATTACCAAAAAGTTTAGTGTAAGCATGAACCATAATTTTAATAACTTCATGATTGACTCTTGGTGGACAATTTTCTGGTTTAATATAGATGTCATAATGTTGTACATAACGACGTGACATTGATACTTGAAAATGATTAGCACGGAGCCCAATTGGTAGGCCTTCTCGTCCTAAATTTGGTCGGCATGGAGGATTGAATACTATTAATTAATAAGAAAAAATTATTAATGACAAACAGTTCATAGATCAACAAAAACAACTATGATATAAAAAACAAACAATGAACATTTAAAATTATTATTATGAAAGTTTACATGGTACATCAACAAGTTGTGGTTGCAATGCCGGAGGTTGAAGAACGCCCATTTCTCTTGGTGCATCAGGTTGCTCAAGGACTAGAACATTCAGACAATTATTATGAGAATTTTACATAAAATAAAAATAATATTATAATTTAATAGATAGTTAAAATATAAAATTTTAATAGTATTAACAATAATATATGCATTAGACTATTAGAGTATAACTATATAATATCATCGAGATGAAAAAAGCGGTAAAGTCACTAAGCCAACATATTGTTAACTTGGGCGGACGGGTTAGTAAATACAAATAAATAACCCCCATAATAAATTTCGTTTATAAAATGGGTTAACTAGTTACAGTAACCATATTCATGAAAACGATATCAGTTAACAGCTTATTAGTGGTTAGAGCTGGTTACTCCGCCAAAACACACCTAATGTAATGTCACTACATGAATTTTTTTAAGAGGACGCTACACCCGCATGTGTTGTCTCCGTCTTACACACGTACGACATAGACAAAACGCGTTTAGGCAGTCTGAGTATAACTCGCTTAATTTTGGTTCTAGAGTAAAAATACCTATTATGAAATTGAATTGTGATAATATTTCTAAGGGCAAGACGCTGCGGTTTTTTTTAAAAAATTTAATTTTTTAAAAGTCAAAGGTATTTTAAAAATGGTGAAATTTTTTCTATTTCTAAACGATATAATGAACGTTATATTGGGTATATAATGGAAAAACCGCAGCGTCTTGCCCTTAGAAATATTATCACAATTCAATTTTATAATAGGCATTTTTACTCTAGAACCAAAATTGAGCGAGTTATACTCAGACTGCCTAAACGCGTTTTGTCTATGTCGTACGTGTGTAAGACGGAGACAACACATGCGGGTGTAGCGTCCTCTTAAGCTTAGCTTTTTTTACATGGATTTACAACGGAGTGTTTTTAGTGTGATAAATTTATATGTATTCTTAAAGAATATTATTCAATAATAATTGTTGAAAAAAGAAATACTAGACTGAGAAGAGTAACTGCCACTCTGCAAAAAAAATCTAGACAAATTTGAATTTTTCACCGATTATCATTGGTTGGTGGGGATCCGAGATTTTAATATAGGTGTTTAAGTGAGCAAAATCGATTGAAATATAACGACGTCAAAGGGCCGGAAATCGTGAGCAATGACGGCAGCCGGAGAGGCAATTGATTTTCAAAATGATTGATTTAAGCCACAAATATTTTTTTAAATCCTAAAAATTACAAACAGCTAAGGTTCTGGACAGGCTCCGAAATCGGATATGGAAAAAATTCGAAGACACCACAGTAGTCTCGTTGATGCGATATTGTTTAGGGAATGAAGCCTCTGATTAGCCTCTATACCTCTATTGATCAATCCACACACAAAGCTACATGAAGTGTGATCATGCGCTATGTCTTATACTCACATTTGCCGATAGGATACATGGCTTGTTCCGTTTGTGACAGTGGCGACGATCTTAAGCGTTTGCGTCAGATATTATTGGCAGCGAAGATCAACTCAACGAGTGCATTATAATGAAAAAAAAAATTAGAAAAACAGAAATTCGTAACGATCTTATAATGAATTTGTTATTAAAATAAAGCCGGCACTAAAATGGTAATTACGATAGCGGGAGACATTTTTTTTTTAAAAACCACGACCTGTTGCGCTACGGACACGCACTTAGATGACCCAATGACGACGACAAGTGTTGCACTGTGCCCAACTGGATTTCGTTTCGGTCCTACGTTTCGATCGTTGTCGTCAACTCGGCGGGAATGAAATATCATGACCGACGCGCATGTAGTCACTACTACCGCGGTATGTGGTCGTGGCGGGAACTATAACCTCAATCCCTGTTCGGATCGTGCTCTTATAATCGTGTTTCATGACGCGGGCACTTTGTACTATCTGGTAAAAACGTTTATTTCAGACACTGAACAATTATGGTACTGTATACGATGTCCAATAAATAAACTTTTAAATCTGCTGCCATTTTTTTAAAATTTTGTTGGCAGCCCTATTCTTATAATTTCTAGTATCTACTATTACTCTGATTTAATTAGAAGTTGTTGATAAGAAATGACAAAACAGGACTATCAACAAAATATTTCAAAAATGGTGGCCGATTTAAAAGTTGCGCACTTTATGGGACACCCTATATTATATAGGTACATACAATATTTAAGTATATATTATGTATATATAAGTGCATATACAATGCTATAAAGTTTTATGAGATTTATAAACATTATTTTATTTATTTTTTACATGAAAATAAATTAAATATGTTATCATGTTATATACTATATTAGGTAGGTATATAGTAAACAAGCCAAAATAATCATAGTTTTTTTAATTTACAGGTTAGGAAATAGCTAGTTACAACCAAACATTAGGTAGGTATTTGGTGAATTATGTATTCATAAATTATAATTATAATACCAATTTAGATAATAATATACCAAATGGTACCATATTCACTATTTAATAATTAAATTAACATTTTTAATATAATTGGTCGTGGCTATTCGGACTTTTTTATATTATACGTATCTATATTAGGGCTTGCGTTTTAAAATATTCCGACAAACAAGTAAAACGTTACACCATTTTTGTGCTTATCGTTATTTAGAACTAAAACGTTGTAAAAGTTTTACGTTTATCGTTATTTAGAACACTGTTAATACTAAAATATTAAATGTATTAATAATAACTATTGCGGGTAGGTAATGTCCCGGATACCGAATATAATATAATCAATTCTAATCTCCGTATGCACGAAATAAATATTGCTATGAAACAAATATTGTAGCCTTTAAAAAAATGGATTTTAAATTATATCATTTTACGATATTTTTCGTTTAATGCTATTCTATAAATTACATTTAATGATATAATATATATATTTTGTTAAGGGAGCTGCAGCAGATAAAAAAAAATGACTTTTAGACCAATAAGCTAGATAAGACTGGAAGAATTTGGTTTGACAGATTTTTATTTTGAAAACGGATTATGATTGATCAATAAGTTTACTAGGGAATGATCGAGGTGATTTTGAATATTTTTTTTTTCATTTGTCATATCCAGGAATAAAAATATTGAAAAAATATGATATTTTTGTATTTATATTATTCATTATGACACTAACAATAATTGGAATATTCAAAATTACCTCGATCATTCCCTAGTAAACTTTTTGATCAATCATAATCCGTTTTCAAAATTAAAATCTGTCAAACCAAATTCTTCCAGTTTTGTCTAGCTTATTGGTCTAAAAGTCACTTTTTTTTAATTGATTGGAGCCCCCTCCAGCCCCCTTAAGATTTATTTTATGATACGGAATTTAAATATATTGAAACACAATATAACAAACAAAATTAATGTTTAGATTGGTCAAATCTACATTAGTTTTGACTTTTGACAAAACCTGCTGCAGCCCCCTTAATCGTTAGTCATTAAGTGATGTTTTGCGGTATTTAATTATTTTTAGTTATAATTAAGTTTACAAATTTCAATCGTTTTTTTGTCAAATATTGAAATATCACTTTAAAATCATAACGTTATTAATATAACGTTTGCAAGCCCTGATAAAGTGATACCTACCTATTATATACTTTATGTAGTTATATAATATTATGAACCAATATAATAGTAAATACAGTAGGTATCGGCGATCTACTGTCTAAAGTTTTACCCAACATCATTACAGAGTACCTAACTTAAAAACTGAATAGTGTACTAATGTACTATAGTGTATAATAAATGTATATTTATATGTATTGCAGCGTACCTATACAGTATTGAATATATTATGTGCCTACATTGTAGATATTATAATATATTATATACCTACTTTACATAATATACCCTTGTAACAGCAAGCATATTGTATAGTGTACATGTGTCTGTCGTAGGCACAATAATAATAATAAATATATTTTAGCGTTATATAATATTGTGTGCTGTTAAATCTAAACTCATTAACACAAAGTGAATGCGTGTAATCAATTATAGACTTAAACGCATGTGTCGACAGTCGAGTGAGTGTGTGTGTGTGTGTGCGCGCGCGCGATAAAAATCGCACACGAAAAACGAAGAGTCCGAACATCGGAAAGAATTCGTCACGGTGAGTACCTATAAACATATTGTTATAGTGGGTATAGATATAATATTGTTATTTGTTTCGCAAACAAAAGAACGAAGTCACGAGTACCGGGAAAATAATATCAGTGTTTCTGTGAAATGTGTAGGAGAGTTCACCCTTCGACGTACGCAGGGACATCGTACCCAAGGCGCAAACGATATTATCTGAGATTCTGAGGAGATATAATACCTATGTGTATAGAGTGTACAATGTGTCTACATCAGTGGATCCCAAATTATAAGTTGTGCTACCATCAATTTTGTAAAAAAACTTAGAGGCCCACTTACTTACTGTACGGCTAAAAAATATAAACTCACACAAATAGACACCTATACTATACGTATGATGCAATTGATGCATAGGTACCTATATATAATGTACACGTATGTCAGCATTTATAAAAATATCCTTTCACTAATAAAAATAAATTTAAAAAAAGAATATTTATTAAGAAATTTTATTTATTGTATTTAACTAAAAATAAGTTATCATAATTTTAAAATTCAATGTGATTTTTTAACATTGCTTGTCTCCCATGAAATAATCAGTATCTATCAGGATTAAAATAACTAAACTCAAATCCCTGTTTGAAGTAATAACTACTTATTGTATACATAGTTGAATTATTACTATTAGTAATTATAGGTACCTACCTCATTTAGTTAAGCAATCAAAAAAATGTGAATTATGTGGTGGGACTTCGTGATAAATTATAATATAGAAGGAAAGTAAGATTAAAAAACATGAGTTTGGATAAAAATATTTAAATATCTATATACCTACTTATAATAATAATTAGCAAATATATGAATAGATATTATAGTTTATAGGTAATAAAATATAATTAATACTGTAACAGGTTACATGTAACTGTGGAGTTTTGACACGATTATTTTTGTCCATGGAATTTGAGTGTATGATAATATTATATTATAATAAACATATTATTATTGAGTTTCGTACATTATTATATTTACAAATCGCAGGAATACTCAAAATACTTCTGCAACGACATTTTACACATAATATATTATGTTCGATTCTGCGTATAGAGACATGGTGCCACCCACACACACAATGTAAAACGTTTTGAATGTGTATTGTATAGACTGCAAGGGTACCTATACCCAACTTTTTTCAACTTGCGGGCCGCATTCAAAATGTATATTTACACTGCAGGGCGTAATATGGGTGATACACGATTGCGAACGTTTTTACCTTCCTGGTGACAATTTAATATTACATGTTGTAATATTAAAGGTGCATCGATTAATTGGTAATCGGAAAATAAGTCCCACACTAGGAAAAAAAAGTCCCGAAAAAAATGAATGAAAATATATCAAAATTGAAGTATAAATATGTTAAAATTGTATTGAAAAATTCATTAAAGTTACATAAAAAATCATATGATATCATAAAATATAGGATGGAGCTTACATACCTAAATAGTGTATAATATATTATAATATATGTGTACATTTAATTTTCAAGTTCCTTAATGAAGATCATATTTTGGGATTTTGCTATAATTTAGTAATTTACTATTTAGTTTTAGTGTAATGATAATATGGTAAATTATATTAAATTGTATAGATAAATATAAAAAGTTTCATATTATAAATTATTATATTATATTATATATTATTATTATATTCAACATAAATTGAAAGGTAATTAGCAGAGGTAATTTAAAAAAAAAATTTGTTTGTTATAATAGGAATTCATTCTGGATGGTTTTTCAAATATAGTTGACTAATAAATATTAAATATACACGAAATTACTATAGATACTTATAACTTGAACTTTGATAAGGAACATTACATAAAAACAAACGTTTTTTGGTATAATAATAGTTAATAGGTTATATGTATCGGTACCTATAAACAGGCCTTTTTAACAGCTGTAAGACATAACATAAGAAAGAGGTGAACCTAATTATAATATTACATTTTTATTATTTTATAGCATTACGAGGAGTGCCGTCAGGGCTCCGCACGGATCTTATACGCGTTATTAGCGTTTTATTATATAAGATTATTATAATTATAATATAGGTACTTTAATAATATTGTATTTATTATTGACTATTGTATTACATTTTATTATTTTAGACTTGTATTAAATTTGATTTTATTATATTTTAATATGTGATTTAGTAGTAAGTAATTAACATTTTTTATGATATTATATGATTTTTTATATACCTTTAATAGTTTAATGTATTTTATATTTTAATACAATTTCAAAATATTTATACTTCAGTTTTGATATATTTTCATTCATTTTTATAAGGACTT